CCTGCTGCTGCTCTCAAAGCGTTTCAGTGGGGAAAAGTAGCTCTGGGTTGTGGTCAAACTGTGCTGGGCCCCTGCTGCTCCCAATGTCCTCAGGCCCGGGCAAGGTCTCTGGCCTCTGCTTTCATTTGCTCTCCTGGGAGACCATGGGAGCTGCTCAAACAACAGATTGAGCCCCAAGGTGTGACTGTGGTCTTCAGACAACTCCTGTTTGGCCCCTGCTTTCTCTTGCTGGGCTAAATGGTCCAAAAGTTGTGTCGAACTTGAGATCTCAAAGGAATTAGCGGTCCACAATCATTAGGGCGCAGGTCTCCCTCCTAGCGGGCCAGAAAGCCGGCTGAGCACGCGGTCCTTAACCACCTCTCCTGTCCCGGCCTTCCAGGTCAGGAGCAGCAGGAGGGTTTGCGTGAAGTGACGCTCTCCACGCAGCGGCTGCGAGTGCTGCCTGCAGCCGTCCTGAGCAACCCTGTGCTGGAGAGCCTCGACCTCGACAGGAACAAGCTCAAACAGGTTGCCGGCATTTCGAAGCTTTGCAACTTGAAGAAGCTGATACTGTCCAAGAATGAGATTTTGGATTTTCCGGATGAAATCCAGAGTCTGGTCTACTTAGAAAAGCTTGAACTGAATCAGAATCAAATTCGTGTCATTCCAGAGGGGATTTTCTCCCAACTCTCCAGGCTCAGACACTTGCGGCTGAACAACAACCGCCTCTGTACCCTGCCCCAGGACCTGGCGGCATGTCAAGGCAGCCTCCAGTATCTCAACCTGTCCAACAACTTGTTTCGAACCTTCCCCCAGCCTGTCCTGCGCCTGACAAACTTACAAGAGCTCCACGTGCAGAATAATGCCCTTCGCCAGCTCCCCAAGGAGCTCTTTCAGGGGCAATGCCTGAAAATGTTCAAGGCCAATGGGAACCCGCTCAGGGAGCCGCCAAGTGAAGTGTGTGCTGGTGGCATCCAGCAGATCAAGAATTACTTCACACAGCTACAAGAGGGTTTGGGGCAGGAGGACAAGAGGGTCAAGACCATGTTCCTAGGGGCTTCACTAGCGGGAAAATCCACTATTTGCAAAAGCTTGAAGCAGGGGCAGACTGACTTGGTGCCCAAGGAAGAGCGAACAGTTGGTATCGAGATCAGTGAGTTCCGAATAGAGGACTTCACTTTTCTCTTCTGGGACTTTGCTGGCCAGCTGGAGTATTACATGACCCACCACGTGTTCATCACCCCGCAGGCACTTGTCATCCTGGTGATCAATCTCCACATGTAAGTACTGTGCAGGTTTGAATTCATAGTAGACGAGAGAAGAAAAATGAGTTTGGCCTGGGGACTCTTTCTTCTGCTCTGGTTCTGCCCTCTCCATGAGACCTGGATGTCTGTTCTTTTCTCCACCAGAGTAACTAACTCTCCCTCTTCCCTGTCTTTGAGATCATGCTTTTTATTAAACCACTAGCTCTGTCATCACCTTGCCTAAACTCTGTTTTGAGAGATTAGAGAAGTATTGACCTGTTAGGTGAGAATTTACTGCAATCAAAACAGTCCTCACCTCTGCTTTCTGAATTGAAAATCCATCTACGAGCCTCCGCTTCTCTCCTAGTGGTCCCTGAAAGCAGAGGGAGCATCAGGCTTGAGCCCTCAGGGACAGAGGGATGCCCTTGTGCATAGCAGAGGGGCTCTGCTACCGCCCCAGCTTTAGTCACCTTAGCTTATGGAGAGGAAGCTGGTAGCCCTGGGCTTGGAAATGGCCCATGGCAGCATTTAAGAGATCGGGGCTCTCCTCTAGTCACTTCCTGGGCACGTCGTTAGACCTGTGCCGGAGGGAGCTGCTTGAAGACTCAGAGGGGTGGCCATGAACTTGGTGATCTTTTTTTTTTTTTTTTTTTTTTTTTCCCCCTCCCTGGTCTCTCCCCAGGTACCAAACTAATGACGATACCTTCAAGGATCTTGTGGGTTTCTGGATCAACAACCTGTCCATGCGAGTGCCCAACTCGGTGGTGCTCCCCGTGGGGACCCACACTGACTGCTGCCAGGAGGCAGACGTGGAGGAGAAGAGGGGTGACATCATGTCCAAGATTGCGGCCATGCTGGAGGAGAGGAGGAGCAACCTCTCTCACTTCATCAACAACCTGGAAGGCAGTGAGGAGTCCGAATTTTATGTGGACCAGTGGGAGAGGCTGAAAGAGATGGAGAACCACACGTTAACAGTAGGGCTGAGGTTATTGTAGATTTACTGCAGCGGTAAGGGAGCTGAGCACACTCCCAGGGCTTGGGTTTGCCTTCTCGGGTGGGTTTGGCTGGGAGGCTGAAGCCACCAGCGCTCCTCACTGTCTGTTTCTGTGTCTAGCAGC